TGAAAATCTGCACAGCCCCCAACAGATGGAACCATCTAGTGAATGTGAACCTTCAGTGTTGACGGTAACAGACACACACACACACACACACACACACACACACTTTATCACAGGATAAATGAACAGGCATAAGCCACAGATCCACTGGAAACTGCGAAGCTGAGAATGTAAGACCCGAGTTCACCCATGGGAATTTGACTTTTTACAAAATGACCTTAAAGATTAAGTTTTTCTCGCCTATGAAATTAAAGATACAGATACAGCAGGCGTATTCAAGTCGTATTAGACAACGCAGACAAAATCAATTAAAAAGTACAATCTGCATTAGGGAAACAGCAACACAATAACTGCTTTTAACAAATTACTAATATTTGCTTGCTAAAGCAGAAGCATTTGGCGGTTACATATACTTTAAGGTCTTATCACCCAATGAAAGGCAGTGTCTCAGTTTTCTGAATTCCAAGAGAGAAAAACCATGACCACACAGTAACTACTTTTCACCACTCAACAGTACAATTAGTTGGCACCTAATAAAAACCACAGGAAATGCATTTATGTACATCCTGTTACGACAAAGGTGGATTTGGCTGAGTTGAATTCTTCCCAGTACACACAGCAATCTAAACAGTAAGCTTGGGTGTAGTCAAAACTATAAAACTAAATTTTGTGAATCTGTTTCTTTTTCTCGTAACAATTACAAAGTTCACGTAATAAGTCAGTTCTGTTCCCCAGGTTACATTTTTAAATATTTTATAAGACTGAGCAAATATCTTTATTCTACCTTTATTTTTTGCAAGTCGGAAAAGGAAATTTGGAGCTGGTCATTAAGCATTAGACACGAGGAATCAGATTGAAAGCCACCGTCACCCTCTCCACTCCTGTGAGTACCACATGGCATGTGTGGAGCTCTGATTCCCCCAAATGATGAGTCTTGTCCTCGAGGGCAGGTCGGGGAGCCTGGAATGACTGTCGAGTGAAGAGGTGACAGGGAAGTCGCAGAGCCTCGGTCCCTTGCAAGTGAGCTCAATGTGTTTAACTCAGCACAACTGTGCCAAGTCTCTGCGTACTTTATACCTCCGGACACGGCCCTCCCAACAAGGAAACCAAGCTGAAGGCACCACCTAACATTCCCAGGAAAGGAAGGCCCCGATGATGGCTTCCTTGGGGTCCATGCCTGTATCCCAGCACCAGAGAGGCTGAGGCAGGAGGATCGCTGCAAGCTTGAGGCCAGCCTTGGCCACAGAGTGAGTTCAAGCCCAGCCTGCACTCCACAGTGAGACCCTGTCTCACATAAACAGAAAACCAAAAAGACAGACAAAGATGCCTCCATGAGCGCTGCATCTCTCCAGCTAAGAGGCAACACAGAATTGCTCCCTACACAGATCAGACTGGCTGGTTTGTGGCTTTCACCCTCCATGCAAATATTTATAAAGTCCCCCGCTGAGGTAAAGGAATGACATTTAAAATTGTTTCAAAATAAATCAGATTTTTCTTTGAAAACGTAATGGCCTGTGGTTGTATTTTTTAAGAATTAACAATGGCCATTGAAATAGTTTTTAAAAGGAAGTAAGAATAAACGGAACAGTGATTCACACATTACACCCCCAGCTCTCATCACAGCCCAGCTTTTCCGGGTCCCCAAGCTCAGTGGATCGGAACCATCAGAACCATCTCCTCTGAACTCCCAGTCCTCCCCGCTGCAACTCAATGGTCTCTGGGACCAGGGGGACCCCTGCCCTGGAACATCAGTGCTCATCCCAGAGAACGAGGCAGGGTCTGGAGATAGAGGGTGCAGATAGACATGGTACACTTGGGGGGACCCTGGCCTCAACTCCCGTGCTGGGGATGGACCTGGGCTCATCCATGCCAGGCCGGCACTACACAGAGGAGCTGCAGGCCCAGACACCTTTGCCCGCCCAGGGGCAGAGTCCCTTGGTGAGTATTTCAGACATAAAGTGCCACGTGGACACCGTTTCAAAACAAGAAACATCACAGATCTTCTGCACATGGGAAGGAGGTGAGGCAATGGGGGAGGCAGAGAGAAGGGGGAGAGGTGGGGGCGGGGGAGTATAGTGGGGGAGGGGCAAGACAATGGAAGAGGAAGAGGGAGGGGAGAGGCCATTGAGGGGGAGGAGAGGGAGGGGAGGGGGGAGAAGACACAGAAAAAACCGGGTCCAGTGGCCTGCACTTTCCAGCTTCCCGCCAGACGTGATCATCAGTACTACAACAAGTGCCAGTAAAAAAGACAGAAAGAAAGCTCTCTTAGAGAAAAGGAAACTCTTAGACAACTTTTGGACCTGAACTAATTTTGATACTATCACCCATTCCTACCCCAAATTTGCTGCCCTGTAGAAAGTGGCTAAGAAGCCAGCTGTCTCCCGAAAGGTCACCAGTGAGGAGTCCTGGGCCACAGGAAACAGCAGGGCAGGGCAACAAATACTCCTCCACTCTGCGCATCTGGAAAACGAAAAGCACTTATTTCCCCACTTCACTGGGAACAGTCTAAGACAAAGGACAAAAACAGCCGAATTTTCCCTTTTTTTTTTTTTTTTTTTTTTTTTGGCAACCATCCTATTTTGAATGATTATTTCAGTGAAGCAAACCAATGGATATTTTCTTCTTGTAACTTACTTTGAACCACAGTCATTAGCATTAACAAAGTGCTCAGAGGAGAGGTAGAATTTAAACTGCCAAGAATGACCTTTACTCCCAGCAGGTGAGAGAGACAGTGACCCATCCCCTGCCATGGGAAAGCCAAGGACCATCTCTCTCCCAGCGAGGACATGGGGGCCAGTTTGTGCATCTAGCGACCCAGCCTGGGCACAGGATGTCCCCATCACCGCTCAGGTCCCTGCTGGAGTACTTAACCTTGGCCCTGATACTCTTCAAATCCCGGGAGACCGCTGTCCTCCGCCTGGCACACCAGAGAGCTCGAGCTCTGTTACGACTCAGAGGCTACAGTGTGCAGGTGGCCTGGAGGCCACGGGTTTCTGCATCCCATGAAGAAAATTTCAGAAACAGAACAGAGAATAGAAGAAGCTCTGACATTCGCCTAAGAAGCCACTGGAGATGCGACAAGGGGGGTGTAACTCTCAGTGCTGGGGTGGAGGATCATGTGGCCAAGCAGACATGGACACTCAATGCCCCCCTGAGCTGCCCAGCCCCTTCTCAAATATGTTCCAGGTCCCCAGTCTGGTGACAGCAGCAGCACAATTAACTCCTCAGGGGTGGACCTAGACCCCAAAACTCCTCTGTCCTTATCTGCTGTGTGATCTCCTGATTCTTCAAGCAGACCAGCAGCACCCAGGTTTCCCAGCAGGGCTCCTCCAGTACTCTCAAATTCTTGCTTCCCCAACTGCCACCAGTTTTATCTGCAGACCAGAAGGCTGTGATTTCCAACCTCTTACACATGCATACAGTGATTGAGAAATATTCCTATTTTATATGACCATGGACAGAAAAAGACAGCAGCCAGCTGGCTGTCAGGACATCCGCCAGCGAGAAGCATGGAAGTCGACCTATTGGGCAACCAAATTCCTTCAGGAAAGTCTGGCTTAGAGAATTCATCCTGAAGACCGCAGTCTGGAGCTTTCTCAGCAGCAAAATAACATGTGACCCTGACAGGTAGGGCAGCTGTCTAAATTGAAACAGTAACAATATTCCCCTCTGGTTCAAAAAGAGAGAAAAGAAATACAAGAAAATCACAAAAGAGAGAAGTAAGCCAATTATACACATCCGAAGTAATTTAAAGTACTCTGTTTTATTTTAGATATTACAACACATAAAACCCTGTGTGAACTGATCCTGCGGAACCTTGGAGTATAAAACCTTTAATTTTAAAAGTCTCAGTAGAAAAAACAGATAGGTATATACATCCTGAAACAAATGTTTCCTCTAAACTCTTCTCCCAAATTAAACCGTAAAATGCACAACCTGGATTTTGTTGCTATGTAAAAAGTTGCAAATCAGTCTTTAAGGGATTAAACATGCTCTCAAAGGACAAAGAACTTTTTAAAAATTCAGTCGTATCAGTTTAATCAGTGAAGTCAGTTAATTATTCACAGTGAAAGCAAAGTGAAGACACAGCCCAACTTCTGGCCCATCTGGGTTTAAGCGTTCCTGATTTTCCGCGTTCGGGCTCTGGGGAGCGAGGTCGGGAGGCGTCTGATGCCTCCTCGCAGTGCCAGCGCTTCAGCCGCCTCAGCGGTTTGCAAAAGATGCAGTTTGGTCTGCCTTGTATGGAAAACTCAGGGGCAAAATATTTTATCCAACAGCGAACACCACCCTCCCCAGACTGGGCTCTGGCAGCGAAGTAAGAAGATGTGGATGCATAAAATCAGTCTGCAAAAAAACCAAGTTGGTTCTCGCAGGAATGGAGGGCCGGGGCGGCTCAGCCTCAGGGTGCTGGCCACCCCTACCCCACGCCCACCCCCACCCCCTGCAAGCACACAGCAAAACTAATGCAGTCGTGACCCAGAATCTCGAGCTCCGGCTCTACAGCAGTCTCTGAACACACAGGACAGGCGAGGCTGCAGTTCCCTACGTTGGGGCATACAGAGCCCCAATGGTGATCCCGAGCGGGATGGATACCCATTCATTCCCCCTGTAGTGAACCCTAGGGATCAGAGGCCAGAGAGGGCAAAGCTGGCCCAGCAGTGCCCCACGGAGGGGTCCGAGGCCCGGGACCCTATGGGCGCTTCCCAGAAAAGCGCGCCGTTGTCAACGCAGGTAAAGACACCTGCGCGCGCCGCCCAGGCGCGGGGCTAAGCCAAACTTTTCCAGATAAGTTCCCTGGGTCTTGCCGATCGACGTCCAACAGGTGTCCCCACCGTCACCACGCGCGATCCCTCCCTGCGATCGCGCGGAGAAACTGAAAGGACCTGACAGGACCGGGAGGAAGCCGGGCCGCGCCCCGCGCACAGGAGGAAGGCGAAGTCGCCCGGCGCGGTCCTGCACGGCCACCCCAGCCCGGTCGCGCCCGCTCGGGCCCCACGCGGTACCTGCTTGTCCAGCGGGTCGCGCGCGGCCCCGGCGCCCGCGGTGGCCCTGGGGGGCGCGGGCGCGCGCTCGCAGCTGCAGCCCTCCAGCAGGTAGAGCCCGGCCGGGCGGCCGCTCTGCTCGCCCTCGAAGTAAAACAGCACATTCTGGTAGAGCGCGAACCACTTCTCGTGCCAGCGGCTCGCCTCGGCCGCGCGCCTGCTCAGGAAGCCGCGCTTCGTGCCCTCCCTGCGCGCCAGCCCGGCCAGGTGCAGCGCGTGGCCCTCGTTGTAGCGCACGCTCTTCTGCATGGCCGGAGCCGCGCGCCCATCGGCCCGCCCGGCCCGGCCCGGCCCGACCCGACCCGACCCGGCCTCCGCGCCCGCCGCGTCCCCGCCCAGGCGCCCGGCGAGCCCGCGGGCCGCAGCGCTCTGCTCCGGCCACGCGCGCGGAGACGGCGGGCGGCGTCACGTGGGCGCTGAGCCGTAATCGGCTTGGAGACGACGGCGAGGGCAGAGCCCGCGCCCGCCCGCGGGAGGAGGTGGGGACGGCGGCGCGGCTCGCAGCTCGCTGCTCGGGCCTGGCGCACAGCCCGCGCGGACTATCGGCCGGGGGCGCAGGCACGGGGTTCACAGGAACACCACGCAGTGCAGGGCGGCCGTGCAAGTCCTCATGGCGCGGACTCACGCACACGGGGTGCACGGGCACAAAGCGCATGCTGCTGCCCCCAGGCACACACAGGCGCGCACTCACAGCATGCAAGGGTGCAGAGGCACACGCGTGCAGGGCTCAGACTTCTCCAAACGGGAGCACACAGGAGTCAGGCACGGGGCTGCAGGCTGCACTCCTTGCACAGCGCAAAGCTGAGGCAGGAGGGTGCAAGCCGGGGCCCAGCCTGGGCAATTTAGCAACTTAATTTTATTTTATTTTTTAAAACATAGAAAAGGGCTGGGGATGCAGCGCAGTGAGAATGTTACGTGTTCAATCCCCAGTACCACAAAGGAAAGAAATACAGCCACATACTTACACACGTGAGGTTTACACACAGTTTGCAGCATGCACACAAGAACACAAACCCGCACAGAGACACAAACTTACACAGCAACTGCACCCAGGGCCGCCTGAGCTGCTGGCTCCGGTGCACACATGCAGCACACACACATTTGCAGTCACACACATAGACAGGCAGACATGCAACTGTACATGCCCAGAGACGTACACATCCGGGGTTGCACAGATGAACGCAAGCAGGCACACGCAGATGAACACAGATTGACACGCAAACACATCCGCCCCCCAGCACACTCATACACAAACACCCACACACATAACAAATACATCTTCACAGAAACCACACATTCTCACAGCCCCACTCCCGAGCCGCCTGCACGCGTACACACACACACACACACACACACACACACACACACGCCCCGCAGGGGTGGAGCCCCGCTGGCTTTGGATAAACCACATGGTAGTCCTATGCGGGTGCCTGCACTGGAACATTTCACACCAGCCTTGAAGTTACTGAGCTCAGCCCAGGGGGCCGGGAGCCACTGGGTCACCCATTATTTCACCAGATGGAAGGAAAAAGAACTAAATTGTATGGAGGGGGGCGGGGGACCAAAAGAAGTCTTGCCTGCAAAGCAAGGTCACCCTGCTGGGACTGAAACTCATTTGATTAACAAATCCCACAGCTACACACACACACACACACACACACACACACACACACACACACAACGTAAGTGCAGAGAAAACCAAGTCCCGGCAGTCGGGAGAGAAAGCTGGTGCGATCCGGGGAGTGCTGCAGTTTCTGTTCCTCGTGGACTCTTATTTAAAATGGCTCGCCATAAAGAGGTTATTGTTAGAGAATAATAACCCACCCTGGGCACTGATTCGGGGACATCCACCCGTCGTCCAGACCAGTAGCCGCGGATTTTTTCTCTGCTGAGTGTGTTAGCTCTGCCTCACTAAGCAGCTGAGTGGTTTCGGCATTTGACCACCAAGGAAAACTTTCAGGATGACAAGCCCTGACCCAGCAGACTGAGAGACGAGGGAGGGGACAGAAGGGAGGTGACAAAAGAGCTTAGATGGGCTGTGTCCAGCCCCCCACGAACATGCACTGGTGAAAATAAAACCAGTGAGAATTCTAACTTCAAACATGAAAAAGCTGGGGATTTAGCTCAGTGGCATAAGCACCCACCTTGCAAGTTTGAAGTCATGAGTTCAATCCCCAGTACCAAAACATGAAAAACCATAGCGATAGAATTGCCACTTTGGCTGTGAGTGCCAATGGGGACACTGCCACGCCCATTTTTTGCATATGTAAAGACTGTGGCTGTGTCGCTGCTGGCGAGCGAGTCAGGGGCGCCCCCTTGGCGCCACTGCGAATGCTGGACAAGTGGCCCAAGGCTGCGGGGGCTGTGTCCTTCCTGCCACAGACCGGTCCCAGCTCAGCGCCCAGCCCCAGAATCAGGGTCCCCACCTCCCAACCTGCCTGTCCCCACCTCCCAACCCACTGAGGCCGGTCCCTGGTCCCCATGTCCTGTCTGTCCCCATAAACAACCATGTGAGGAAGGACAGAGTTTTGTTCTCACCTCTAGGCTCACATCCCCTGCCCTGCCCCACTGTGGAGGGGCGTGGCCATCCCCTGGGAAAGAAAACAGGTGACTTCCTCCCGGTTTGGGAATACTGAGGCTTTGGACTATGATTTGCACACAGGAAGCAGGTCCTGCGGGAGGTGCATGGGGATGCTGAACGCAGAGGATGGGGGGGGCATGGCTGTGGTCCTGCTGGGCCTGGAGTCCAGGGTTTCCCAGCCAGGAGCTGCTTCCTAGAGCCCAGGCTGGCTCCTTCACCTGGTGGCCGCAGCTGGGGACATCCGTAGATTCAAACTTGCTACGGATAGGAGCATGTGCAGATCACTCAGGACAACACCTGGAAGCCACAGGGCCAGGAGCCCAGGGTGTGTCTGGTGCCTTGGGCCGAAGCCCCTTTATCCATGGGAAAGGAGTCCCTGGTCACCAAAGGCTGTTGGGAAAGAAACTTCACCTGCCCTAAGGGCCAGGGCCACAGGAGGACCAGCTCCGGTGTGAACCCCTTCCCCTCTTAAACTTCCAAATTCTTCATTGAGAGGGTGGCCTCAAGGTCATTTTTTGGGCCTTGAAGCCCTCCCCAAGGATAGGTACCATGAGCTCATCATCTTGAGCTTTTTCTGGACAAGAGAAAAAACTAGCAGTGAGTCGCCACAGCTGGGACCTGATTAGTGCTGTGGAGGAGACGGGGTTCTGAGGAGGCGGCCAACAAATAGATGGAGGAGGGGAAGAGAGGAAGAGGAAGAGGTTGGGGAGAAAGAGGAGGAGAGGAGGAAGAAGAGGAGGAGGCAGAGGGACAGAGGAGGGAGGGGGGTGTCTCCTGGGCCGTCCAAGGCTTTGGAGGTCCGGAGACCAGAGCGCACAGCCTGAGCTCCAGCTTTTCCCAGTCCGGCGCTCCAGCCTCCAGCCGTATCTTCAGACCCAGAAGGCCCCTCCCCTGCACCCCATTGGCAGAGGTGGCCAAGTTGCATGAGTGTCTGTAGTGCTTTCCTGCCACGGCCGCTGTGGTTCTTCCCTCTTATTTCTTGTCCCTCCTCAGCGCAGGCTTGCAGGACACAGTGACCCTGTCACCCGAGAGGCCTCCCCTCTGCGGCCGGAGAACAGTCAGGCTGGAGGGACAGAAACTTCCCTTCCGCCTCTGAAGCTTTGCTGGAAGAAACCTACAAAGACAGATCAGTGGGAGAAAACAGGAGCATCTCATGTGGGGTAACAGCCACCAGGGATCACACCCGCAGGCCCTGCCTCAGCAGAAGCTTGGCTGCAGCTGTGTCCCCTGAGGGGAGCAGCACAGGCAGTTCTGAGGGTGTCACGACTGTCCTGTTCGACTAGGCCCAGCCCCACGGGCTCCTAGAAGATGGGAGGGATCTTGATTTTGAATCTGCTCTCAGTTGCTTGGTGTATAGAGTGGGGGGCCATTCAGCATGGTCAAGCAAAGTAACACAGCCATGACACAGTCAGCACCCAGCACGGGACAGAGGGCAAGCAAGTCTGAAGCATGGCTAAGAATGCCAGGGACTCTCTTCTGCTCCACCAAGCGGTGCTGTGGTACCAGGGGTTAGATTCTGCACCAAACCTACTTTTTGAGACAGCTTCTTGCTGAGTTGCCAAGTTGCCCAGACTGGGCTTGAACCTGTGATCTTCCTGCCTCAGCCTTCCACGATGCTGGGATTACAAGCATGCACCACTGTGCCCTGAGACACTCAGAAACTTGAAAGTGGCTTTTGCTAAACAAGCGTGACTTCGCTGGGGCCGGCCCAGGCAAACGGGGAGAGTGAAGGCGGAAACAGGGCTGGGCCTCCCTCCTTGGTTAGCGCTGGCTCAGGTCTCCATCTTGGCAGTGCTTCTCTAGAGCCAAGGAGCAGAGGTGTCTCAGACCTGTCCTCCCAACCCCATGTCTGTCCCTCAGGCCTGGGCACAAGCAGTGGGCTCAGGACTCATGGGACACTCGAGCTCCTCCCGTGACGAAGGCCCCAAGGATCCTGGCCTTGTGAACAGCATGGCAGGATGTTCTGCACAAAGCTGACTTTGGATTGAAATGGTGGTGGTGCTGGGATCAGGAGGTGGGCATGGGAAGGACTGCCGCAGCTTTGAGGCCCACCATCACAAGATCCTGATCCCAGCCGGGCCTGGGGATTCCAGCCACGGATTCTAACATACCCATGTGGCCAGGCCTGGGACTCACTGCTCCTGGAAAAGCTCCCCACAAACCCATCCCTGACCCCTCCTGACCCGAGGGCCCCTCTGGCTCCACGCACACATGGTCTGCCCTTGTCACCTGGCATGTCAGCCACCTGCCCATCCTGTGTCCAGGCCTATGGGACAGGAGGACAGAGAGCTCCACCTGAACCCCCCTCAGTCCCTGCCCCCCACCCCGTCCCACACTGACCCCTCTGGGCCCCTTTCCTTCCTGTTCCGAGCTGTCCTCACTGGTGTCCCAGCCCCTGGGCAAGGAGCACAGCCAACCCAAAGCCACACTGGGGGTGGAGCAGATTGAGCTCAGCGCTAGAGCACGCAGCAGGCCCAGGCCAGGTACTGGGTTTGACCGCAGAACTGTGCGAGATTGCAGGGTGGCCAGGGAGGCTGAATCCACTCAGCCACGGCTCAGCTCCTGGCCAGGTGGCACAGTGCACACCGAAGGCCAAGGCCAGGGCTGTGAGTTTGAGGCCAGCCGGGCTCACTGGCGAGGTGTGGTCACACACACGGGTTTCCCGTAGTTTATTTTAAATACTCAGTGTGTCAGGTTCTGTGGCAGGAAACGCACCAGAGCCCCAGACAAAGCAGCACGTTAGCCT